CACTGATGTCATAAACAGATCAATGACATTATTATTTTTTAATGTAATTAAAGCTGAATCAATTTTCAAAACATCTAGCTCTAAAAGGACAAACACTGATGGATTTTGCGACCTACATGTGTAAATAGAAAATAGTCTCCATGCTTAGATTAAATGAAAATCCCCAAACTCACAAAATATAAAAACAGACAAAAAAAATTACGAGTTCTGCTTTTTATTGTGGTGATTACATCTTAGCTCTATTCTTGTAACATACTGCTGCCCTCTGGTGTTAAAAATAGAAACATGCATCTCACTCATAAAACTAAACATATCTAAATATATTTAGACAATAATTATCCTTTTTAAAAGTAATTATCCTGCCTTTGTGAAAACATTTTTCACAAAGGTAGTGGGCTTAAAGTAAGGTAACCAACTGTTAGCTTTTTTCTTTAATTAGTCCACAGTTATTTATTTTCATTCAATGTTTTATTCAACTGGCGACATTGAAATAAGAAAAAAAAGATAATTTGCTAGAGATATAAAGTTTTAAACATTTAGTTTTGAATTATTATGTCATTGCGTGAGATATTTGAACATGTTTGTCTTAAAAATGTGGTCGAAAATATACATAAAGTCTAATGTATCATCTAAATGTTTAGTTTGGGCCCATTTCACACCCAGTCATGATTTATAATATTATTAGGTAAAAATGTTCCACTTTCAGATTATTCAGAATTTAAAAGACAAATGTTGAGCTAACATTAGCTAAAAAGAAACCAAATCTCTCTTTAGACTAGCTAGTGTTAGCTTAAACTGGTACAATTGAACAAGGTTAGCCTTCACTTTCTTGCAATTAGCAGAACTCTTCTTAAGCGGAACGCGAAAACTGCATTTATTAAAACTTTTACTCACTTTAAAAACAAGGAGCCATTGTTCTAAGTCAAGGGTGTCCAAAGTCGGTCCTCGAGGGTCGGCATCCTGCATGTTTTAGTTCTCTCCCTGGTTTTACTCACCTGGATCAAATGATGGCTCATTAGAGACCTAAGGAGAACATAACATGCTGAAATGATTGTTACTACCACCAGGAAGAGAACTAAATCATGCAGGATGCCGGCCTTCGAGGACCGACTTTGGGCCCCCCTGTTCTAAGGTTTCTGGTAAAATCCCTGCCTCCCTGGTTGTATTGCGCGCACCAGCACACGGGGAACAAATCTTCACAAGGGAATACGATTTTGCACATGTCACGAAACATGTCAAATTAAGTCGGGACGGGACGTTTAATAAATGTCTGATTTTTGGTGATACAAAAAGAAAAAAGATATTGTATTTCTTGAATCTCATGTGAAAATGACAACTGACAATTATTTAAATATGCCCTTTCAATTAAATTGATGGTGTATATATGCTTTCATGTTGTGGAAGCCAAATCCTGCCTTTTTTCTGATCATTCAGATAGTAGAGGCAATCATGACTCTTTAGGCAAGAAATGATCAAAGTTTGAACTTGACAAGACAGATAAAAATAAAAAATAAAAGAAAGAATTGCATCACTCCAACATACCTTATTCCAAGATGCCTGGTAGTGAGCGGTTCATTTTATTCAGGTGTGTTGAAGGCATGTGTCTAAAAGTTGCAGGATAGTGGCTCTCAAACTGGAGTTAGACACCGATGTAGGTTGTTGGTTGTGTGAACTAAAATAAAATAATAATAATAATAATAATAATAATAATAATAATACAATTTTCTATTCAGCTCCCCCCCATGTACAGACCTATGGAAGGGATTGACAGTAAGCCTAGCTTTGTGTTTTTTCTCACTTGGGTATATTTTTGACAGATAATTCAAGGACTTGAAGCCAAACATAACAACAGGTTAGGCAACCACTGCTTTCAGACTCCTGCACGTGTCTTTTCATCTCTCCTCCAGGGTGTGATTTTTGAATTTTAATCACTCCATTACTGCTGACTTTCAATTCACGTGTCCGAGCCACGACGATTTAAAAATAACATTAAAGGGCTGATGACACCCAGTGGGTTTCAGAAACCACTCTTCCATAGATGTAAATAGACGATGACTAACGATGACAGCTTTTTAATGTCTCACTTGATTGTTGATTTCCTCTTAAAGTCCTCCCACTGATGCATGAACATCAGAGTTCTCTGCAAACCATCTGCGGAAATTACCCCCATTTTACCTCGGGAGGAATTAAGTTGACGTGTTTTTTTGTTCAATAAAGTGCATGATATTGGCCTCACATACCTGTTGACTTCAACACAAGGAAACTGTGACATCTGTGTGTGGACCAATAGCTGCGTTTCCATTAGAAATGTGCACAAAACTTTGTGCAAAGACAAGAAATCTGGAGGGGAATGTTTAATACTTTTTCACAGGCCTTCAGAAAACTCATAATTCTTAATCAAATGAAAATTATGGAAGTTTGGTTCCAAGAACATTGTCAGCTTTAGTCATTTAATACAATGTTCAAAAATAAAAATCTGTCCATTCTTATCTTTTAATTCCAAAACTCATCCAACTTTCAGAACGCAATATTTCCACCACATTTAACTTATTGGTTTTACTTCATTTATTCCGACAGCTCATTAATTTTCCCACAGAAACCGTGATAACAGCAAAGTAACTGGATTAAAGAACAGTCAGGGAGACAAAGTCGTTGAACTTTTGAGACAATTTATTTATTTAAATTTGAATTCATTTACAGCAGTTCCACTGAAGAGAAATAGGGGTTTGAATGACACCTTAGCCACATGGAAACCTATGGTCCTATCTAGTGTATGTACAGGTTGGAGGATGCAGCTGGACAGTGCAGAAGGCACAGAGTTGGCTTAATACTTGCGTAAAAGCGCTGCTAACGTGTCGGGAGGATAGGGGAGTGTAATGACGGCACTGCATTTAAGGTTATTTTGTAGAGCAACCATCATTTTAAAACGGTACAACGTAAAAGGAGCATGTAAAACTGCATTGAAAACCCAAAAACCTTTAAGTGTACACTTGATTTGTTTCTTAAGTCGGCGTGATTTACAATATGTGAAGCAAAGAAAAGTAAAACTGGACAATGTTAAGGCAATCTGCAGTAAATCAGAGGCAATTCTAGCGAAAAAAATAAAATAAAATTACTCAAACATGGATAAGAAGCAGGCAAATTCAGGTTACACATGATAATAATGACAGTTTGGCAACTATGATCAACCACACACCCAGTTTCCATCCATCACACAGGTCTGTCAAGAATGAGCTACTAGACTTCAAAGCAACAACAGTGGAAGCAAATGAGATGATAAATAGATTGTGATACATCTGAATCAGGAAGACTTTGTCCAGAAAACAAAAAACAGTTTTCAACCATTCACCAACACACAAACCAAAAAAAATAGAGCATCTGATACCACAAAATTAAATCTTACCACAAAAAGATACATCTTATAACATGTAAATACCACTCAAACAAAAACTGGATTCAAGTAAAGCCTTTCAAACTGACACAAAATAAAGAGAAAAACAAATTATATCATAGTTTAAACTCACTTGGAATTGTTGCATCTCAGATTTAGATTATGCTGCTTATAAAAAAGTACATTCAACAGGTACATTAAATATGACACAAAATTATAGTACAGAGGTAAGTCAAAGTTACCGGCAACCACGACTGGGAAACAAAACCATACAACATGACAAGCAGGCACACAGTAGATCTTATAACTCTGCTTCTCCTCCATAGAGACTGTTGGGAGGTTAGATTGTGATAACACACTTAAATTAACAGAGTTTGTGTTTTTTTATAATATATATATATATATATATATATATATATATATATATATATATATATATAAAATGCGATAAATTTGGAAGGAAACCAATGAAACTTTTGCCCAAAACATACATGCTGAGCAAGCCGAGGGGAAAAAAAATGAAAACAAGAATTGCTGAGTCGCCGGTTGCCGTGGAGAGCTTACCAAAAAGACATTTAACCCCCAAATAAACACTTACAGCGCCTAAACTATGAGCCATATTGCACATATTCATGAACAGTCACTAGGAGAACCTTCTGGTGGCTACGTGTGAATTTCTATGCCTCTTTTGTGTTTAAAGTTGGAGATATGACGAGTTAAAGAAACCAATTGGAAAACAAACACCATAGAAATATAATGGGAGTAAATGAAGCTTAATGCATGCTCGTCGGTCTTGGGGTATTTACTAAAAAACAGCGAGTCATAGAAGAATGATAGACACATTTTTTGAAAATAAAGAAAAATGCCTACATGTTGATGTGTAAATTGTGGATGTGGTAATAAAACTAAAAACATGAAATCGGTTTAAATTGAAAATTTTCATAAGATGCCAGAATGCGTGTGACTCTAGGCATTGAAATGCCAATAGAGTCCAGTATAGTCCAGGGCAGAGGTTGCGTTAGACTTTTTTTTTCTCTGTCATTTTGACCGACAGGATAAAAAAAAAATCCTTTGTACTATTTCTACCTGTCAAATTATAATCACATCCAGGGTTGGGGTTTCTCACTACGCTCAAGATCACAATATGGTCAACAAGAAAATTTTGCTTAAAAAAAAAAATAAAATAAAAAAAATAAATCACAGCTTACCATTGCTAAATAAGTCACATTTTGTTTAGATTTGTTTGTACATTTCTCAACATAAGAAAGCTCAAATTTCCTGACAATAAATGTCAGGATCATAGTGAATAACAGTAACTGATCTAAGAATGAGGCCAACTCAATGATGGAACATCTTTCCAGGTGTTTATAAAAAAAAAGTCTCTATGAAGGAGATTTCAGAGAATGTCAGTCTACAGCCACCTTTTTAATCTACAAATATCCCAAATCCACTCACGCTTATTCACACAGCTGTGGGGTTTCGCCCCTTTTTGTCTAAAGGATTTATGTCCAATGGTAAATATGTGGTAGTATTAATGCAGTGAAGCGGTTGCAATTAAATGGTCAGCAAGACTGTTATGTAGAAATACATCTGTTAAGTGCTGACGAGCTTTTTTTTTTTTTAAATAGCCCCTGACATAAATGTACCACCGCCTCTGAATGATGCCGTCAAGCGGTTGATTTAATCTGGATTTACGTTTTGACAGCACTAGCTAGTAAGTTAATATAATCATTTTTTACACAGATGCAGACCAGTTTATTGAATTTGAGACAGTTTACATGTGATCTCAATGAAAATAAAACAAAATGTGCCAGAATTATGAAGGTGCTCCAAATATGCAAAAAAAAAAAACTGAAGATGTGCAACTGGTGTGAAATTGCACTTTCAAGTGGCTCAAAAACTATAATTGATGGATGGTTTAAATATTGAGTTCCAGTGTGTGACATTTTGGGGTAAGAGGAAAAATGAAGAAATAAGTAAAAATTATTATTCTTTCGCTGATTCGTAGTTTCTGGGTGTTCATTTTGTTGCAATTTCTGAATTTTGCCACCGGGTGTCACTATATACACAACACACTGGAGCTTTAAATAGAACAACAAAGACAAAAAGAAAAGCAGACAGTCATTTAGCAACAACAGGCCTAATAATCAGCAGGAAACATCCAAAACAAACATTGGTCTGTGAAGGTATGAAGGTGGGTCAGGTCTCGTCTGATTTCAGCTGGTCCACCGCGGGTAAGGCAAGATGTTACTGTGTTATGTTTCCAGGTGCAGCTGGAAAGATGTCCGCTAAAAACTACACAAAGTGAGGCGAAATGGGAGCAAGATAGGTGATGAGGGAGAAAAATAAGGCAAAGACGCTTTCTGGGTGAAATCTGTTTGTCAACCCAAAATATGCAGAAATGATTGGACTGATCGGATACCACCCATATATTAATGGATGAGATTTTCTTTAAGATTGTAGGTGTAAAATAAATAAGTTAAATTGTTTTTCTGACTTCTTTCATTCTCCTCGCTGTTTGATCTGAGAGGACCTCAAACTACTCAACTACATTTCAAATGACCCACCAAGTTTTTAAGATCAGTTTAAAAGCGGCTCCAGGGAAAATTCACAGTAAAGTTACTGAGTCCGGCCTTCATCTGTGTTTATCTAGCGGTCCTGGGATGGCACATGGGGAACATGGAGGGAAGGGGGGCTAAATAATCCCAAACAAAAATAAACAAGAGCTTTTGCACAGAATAATCAAGAAAACCAACAAATATTTACACCACAGATACAGGCACTTGTATATCTTTGGTTGGAGAAACCCCAACATTGCGAGAGTAATGCATTCACAGAGCGTTTGTACCCCTTCATGTATTTCCAGGGATCACTAGGCAACTGGGATGTAGATTTTTTTCATTTCTTCTGTGTTTCTGAGTCCATGTTACAGGTAACCTCTGGCAGAGCTCTCTGCTGTCTTTTTAACCCTCTGACAGCGCCACCTGTCAAAAAAAGCAAGAAATAAATGCAAGTCAGTTCAGCTTTCGACAGAAAACGAAGCAGAGAGGTTTCTTTGATTTTCAGTTTGGTCTGATTTATCCAGTGTTAGAAAAGCATAAAATTAAGAGACAATTATGTGAGAGAAATTAGATTTTTATAAATTTACAGTCGTGATGAAAAGAGTTTTTCAGTGGGAAAAATGTTGTATTTCCATTTTCAGTGTTTTTACATTTAGAGTATTTCCCCATCAGAGTCTAAAAAGTTATTGTTGCCTCCCAAAAATGCAAGAGTCGATTTTAAACAGGTCAGACAGAATAACAGAATCTATAAAAAAGGATCAACACTCAAAATAGTGACAAAGAAAAATTCAATCTTATGAAATCCTTTTTATTCTTTTTTAGTAGACCTGAGAAATATGTTTTGACCATTACTGCTCTTGTGAACTAAACTGTTCGGTCATGGAAGAATATGTTAATTAACCAAAAGAAATGAAATTAATCTTCTTTTGAAGGTCTTCAGTGTTAAACTTGACTCGATCCCAGACTTTTAGAGGTTGTGTATTTTATGAACTGCAGAGCGATGAGATTTTACCATTAATGGTGGGATCACCTCTACAGACTCGGAGGAAATAAAAAGGACTATAAAACAATAAATGGTCAAACTCTAAATTCAAGGGTGTACACTGCATTCCTCTTAAAAGTCAATGGGACAATTTTATTTTAACTACATATTAAAAAATAAAGGGGATGAGACTGCATTGTTTTCAGTGATGCAGTGTGCAGCTTAAATGTACTCTATGTAATACTAAAACATCTAAAAATGCATGCATGGCTGCCATCAAATAAATATTTGACATGCTTTGCAGTTTATAGTCCATCTCCAACAATTATGCTGTCAAAGTCTTTAATAGTTAAAAGATGAAAAATTCAACAAATGTTCAATGTTAAGCTGGAAAACAAACCTAAAAATGATGTTAGCATGGCTAGCAGAAGCTAGAACAAGTAAAACTATCCAGATAAAAGTCTGGAAGAGTCTGTCAAGTTTAACAACGGCAAAACAAAAAAAGAGGTAGAAAGCAAAAAAGCAGAACAAAAACAAAAACTAAAACAGGAAAAAAAAGAAAAGAGGAAAAAGAAAAAAATGAAGGAAAGAAAAATTTCTAAACAGAGAAACTGAAAAAAAGGAAAGAGAAAAAGGAATTAAAAACTAAATAAAAGACAAAAGAAAAAAAGGAAAAAGAAATAAAGAAAAAAGTGGAAAGAGGCAAAAGAAAAAAATGGCTAAAAACAAAAAAAAGGAAAAATGGAAAAAAGGAAAAGAAAAAAGAAGAAAGAACTTAAAGGATGAATAAGGGGAAGGCAAGAAAATGTAAAAAGAATGATTATATCTGTAATGAAATTATTTTGCTATGAACTTTTATGACTTCCAGCCAGTTTGCCAAAGGAGACTCATCGACAACAAAAGTGATAAACATGGTAAAGGTAAAAGGTTCATCTCTCTATAGGTGTCAACCTTATGAAGTGTTGAAAAAGAAAAAAGACGAAGAGCTTTTCTTTGGGGGTTAATAAGTGAAGCTTCTTCATTACATTCCAACAAAGCTACAGGCAACACCTCCACTTAAACTCCTTTAATAGCAGATGAAAGTGGGTAGTATAAGCAAGTTTGAAGAAATGAGAAGAAAAGCAGCAGTGTGATTGGATTGTGTCTTAGGACCAATCAGAGGTCAGCTGACGCTTGGCTGAAACTACCTGTTGAGGTCATAAAGCACTGCTGGTGTCTGTTGTACCTTCTCAGGACAGAAGTCAGGGATGGTTTGTCGCACCTTGCCAGGCCGTCCCTTTATGACTGCATAGCAGAACATAGTGATGACCATGACAAACAGGAAGTAGCTAGTGTGCATCAGGTGCAGGTTGATGAGGGAGCGGTCGTCCTGGAGAGAAAAGAGTTTATAAATATTCCCTCATTGATCAAATTACTAAAATTTCCCTCTGAGGGAGATAAGTACAAGGTAAAGCTCTACATATTTTACTAGCGCCCCCTTTAGGAAACAGTACATTTATAATACTGCATGCCGACTTGATGTAAAAGACATTTTTAATTGGGATTGGAATTTTCCTGGTCAAATAAAAATAATGACCCACAGCTGCCTGCAAGGATAAACAAGTTCAACTAACCATCCATCTATCCATCCATCCATCCGCTCGTCATCTATTCATTCTTCTAATCTGCTCACCTTCTAACATGTAGACAAAGATATGAAGTTGAAAGATTTAAATCTTCTATTTCAGGTTTGTCTGAGGTTAGGTTTTTTTCCCTAATTTTCTAAATATATCCCAGTACGACCTCATAAGAAGCTATCCTGTAATTTCCAAATATTGGCATCAAATATTTATTGGATTTCCAAAAAAATCCAATAAATATTTAAACATCTGAAAAGTTTAAATCTGAGTTATTCAATTTATCAACCATACTTTAGGAATCCAAATCATCATAGACACTAAAATAGAAGTAACTCCATAATAAAACTCAATATGAACCAGTTTCTGTTGACCAGTGAGCAAAATGGAAAAGCTTGAACTGTTGACCAGGACAGCAGGATCACCAGGATCGCAGCTGTGAAGTTGAATAAATCCTGGCGGCTAAAGTCTGTGCTTTTCTCGGCTTTCAGAGCAGCGAGAGAAAAACGAGTAATGATGGGAGATTTTACAGTGAATTTCTGTCATTTTAGCAGCTTTTTGCAGGCTTTTTCACACTGCTGCTGATGGTGCAAGGTCAGCTGGTGCCAGGAAATAAAAAAAATGTGATGCAATCAAAAACCTCTCTCCCTGTCTGGTAGACTTCCAACAGCTTATTTACCTCTCCAAGAGACAAACCTAGTTTAGTCTGTGTAAATGTTAAGGAGGCAAACCAGCCTTCCTCTTCTGTCACTCCTGAAGTAAAAGGCATGTGAGATTTTAATATTTCTTTTTTTTAATAGTCAACTTAAAAGAAAGTAAAACAACATTTTTTGAGCTTCTTGAAAATGGAAACCTGGAACTCACATCTGGGACAATGACGGTGAGTTTGGGGTTGAGTGCATGATACACTTTGCCAATAGCTCCTTTGTAACACCAGAAGGGATTGTAGTCCTGACTGTACTTGGTGTCTGAGTCACGGACTGTGGTGAACACCTTGTACCAGGATGTAGCGTTGGTGTACGTCTCTGGGACGCAGTGCGGCGGCTGCCTGCACAGGGAAACACAAAACACACAATCAAGTGATTTGTTGACTTTTGAAGCAACCATTTCAAAATGAAATATTGACTTGGCATCAATGAATCAAGTTGTTTTAAAAAGGAACTGAAGGAAGAGTAAGTAGGAAAAACTGGGAAGTCTAAGTAGATTCCAGGAACACTTTTTTGTTTCAAACATTATTTTTATTAAAATTTTTATAGGAGCAGATTCCAGGCATACTTTATTCTCATACTGCAGTTCATTCAGTGGATAATAAGCAGCTTGCAGGGCAGGAGAAGCTGGACCAATGAACAGATTTTAACAAATATGTTTCTCTTAAATGACTAAAAGTGAAACTGAAAAAATAATAATCTACTTTAAGTATTCAACTCTAAGAATAAAACACCACCTGACATCAGAATAAAGCTGATAAACTCTAAACCACAATATTTTTGTACCTTTATTTATGTATTTATTTATGTTTGTTTCTACAGTTACTGTTTAATTGCAGAAAGCTACATCACATCCCTGAGGTTTTCTAACAACCTGGAGCATGTTTTTACAATTTTTTTATTATTATTTTTATTTACTTATCTATAATTGTTTGTTTTTTGCTTCTGCAAATTTACAGCAGCATATCTGATACTACGTCTGACGCAGGTTCCCTCTCACATTTCAAACTAAAGCTGTAACAGTTCACTGTGCAGAAGGACGGATTAAAGCAGAAAGATTTGCAGGTGTTGAATTGTTGACGAGATCAAACACCACGACTACATAAGCTGTTGGCAAATCACAGAGGAGCTCTTATGTGGGGTAAAAGAGTGAAACAGCAACCCTGGGGTTTTATCCTACTCTCAGGGATGGATAGAGGCAAAAACATGATGCAAACTTTTCAGAAACAAACCCATAAAATAACAGCAGAAGAGATTCACGGAGCTTTTAAATGTTCCTTTAATAAATCTGTAAACCCTGCAGTTATAGCATGAATATGCCTCAACGAGATCAGTTTTATACTTTAGTTTCTAAAGAGGATCTCAGGACCCCCAACCTAATGACTTGTGACTCATAGTATGGTCAGCTTAAAAATAAAGTCTCAGATTTGTTTTAATACCAAATCCAATTTTAATTTTCTCACTTTTTTTTCTTTAAGAAAATTACAAACAAACAAAAAACTGTCTTTTATTTCAGTAATTTATTCTGTAAGTTGACTTGAATTGAAAGTTAAAGTAAATAAAAGCTTCTACAGAATTTGGTGTTCAGTGTCGTCTAATCCAACTTAGTTGTAGTTAGCTAGGCTAATTTTTTGATTAGCGCTTTAGCTTTTGTTAACTTTGAAAACATTCAACACTCTTAGCTTCCCCTAAATAATTTTTTTCAGATAAATTCTAAAAATGCTAATTCAGTAAAGTAACAATGATACCTTCAGTTGTTATGAAAATGCTATATATTAAATATGACTTAAAATAAATTTTACGTCGCAATTTAACATCTTGAAACTGGGCCTGTCTCTTTAAAAACTCCTGCTCTTTCTGAAACTCCACATATGACTTCATGTTGTGATGACTTCATGAAGTCACCAAACATGGCTCCTCTATTGATACTTTAACAATGCTTTTACCAGCGTTGCACTGAGAAGTAGCCTGTATAATGAGCTCAGCGGATACGCAGTTCCACCTGGTGTTTGCTAAATACTGCTGGCTAGTCTGAAGGAGCTTTGTGGGGGAGTTGCGCTCTGTGAGGCGGAAGTTTGGAAATCTGCAGTTCTGGGGAGGAGCTGCGTCTCGAAGGCGGGGCTAGATCCACCCAGACGTTTTGCAGAGCTGAGTGGTTGCTATGGAGATTCAAGGATTTCTCAAAAATGCATGAAAGTAGGCAACACTCCAGGTATGCTTTTGATAAGGGAATAACATAGTAATGATAAAATGATTTAAACTCAAAGTTGATTTCACATTACACTGTCTCTTTAAACGGAAGGTGTGACGTAGAAATTTATGGATAGCATATTTAACTTCTGATTTATTTAATAGAAAAGAATCTGGAAATACAAGCATTTTTTTCTACACATAGAGGAGAGGCTAACAGCAAACTGTGGGAAACCGTCCAACTCACACTGTGACTGGGAAGATATTGCTGGCTGCTGTGATGGTCATGCACGTGCTGAACACCACCTGCTCACAGTGGCCGTGCAGCACGCAGTCATCTGAGTTCCAGGACACAGGCAGAGTGAACGTGATGTTTATTTCTTCATGGGCTTCCCGGCCTGAAATCACAGACACCACAGCAGAGCGTTCTTTAAATGCCAACATGTTGATTAAGTGCAGAGGAGACTACTCAATCAATAAACTGCATAAAAGTTTGCAGGGGCAATGTTTTACCTGCTTTTAATGCAGCAGCAAGTTGCATAAGCAGAAAATCTGAGAGCTTCAGCAACAATATTATTAAACTACTTCCTTAATAATGAATGACAGACTGGGTTTGTGGGCTTATGCAAGATTTATTTAATGGAAAAAGGACTTAAGAAGATTATCAGGTGGACTACAGGATATGACAGAGGATTGAAAGGAAAATTAGATGGAGACCATGGAGCAGCGACTGAGAAGTAATTTATAACCTGCCAAGCTTTTTAAGTTAAATTACGGTTCATAAATCAGAAGATTTGTTAGAGAATAAACAGCACCATAAATACCCGGGAACCCACCAGACAGTCATCAAAATCTATAAAAACCAACCTATTCTCACAGGAAGCATGGTAGCGGCGGTATCACTGTGTGGATTGACAACATGGATGGAGCTAAATAAAGACCAAAACTGGATGATAACCTGAACAATTCTCCAGAAAAGATTGGCGGTTCCCCTTCCGGTGGAACAATAACCCCAAACAAATAGAAAAGCCAGAAAGTAACAGTTTCGATCTGATGTCTTCAAACTGTGGCTTGATGCAGCCGCAGCAGAAACTCTGCAGTCTGCTTCACCTCCAGGGTTTCAGTTCCATGGTCAAGTTTCTGCATGCAGATGCTACATTTTCCCACATTCCTTCACTTTCCCACAGCGGATTTTATCTACATGCTTGCAAAATGTGTTTGACTCTGAGTGTGCGTGACATTTAAATCAGTTTTAAACTTGATAAGAGAGAGAGCAGGTTGACCTTTCCCAGGAAAAACACCTTCATCAGAGCAGGCTCATCCTGTTGATGTTAGATTAAATCCACACCGACGCTAAATATTTGCACTCACAGTGGCAATGGTTATCCGTTTTAAAACACAAGTTTTAGATGATAAAGCCAAATCATTCAGCTACAGTTGAAACCAGAAGTTTACATACACCAGGCTCAGTAAAAAGGTCTGCCTGGGCATAGTATTAAAGTATTTTGCTGTGATGAGCCGTGAGCAGAGAAAACCGAAGAAACAAAAAAGTTGTGAAAACACTCACTCAGGTATCGTACCAGGTTTGTACACTTTTCCCACAGTAAAATTCAAGAACTTTTCAAGGAATTTCAGTGTAAGCTTTGAAACTTTTCCAGCACCACACTTTGTAGATAAAAATAATATAAATGAACTAAAGATGAAGTTTAAATTCATTACGTTATATAATTTATTAATATCTTGTGCTGGTATTTTACATCCTACAGCAGGGACAAGGCAAAAAATAAAATAAAAATGTATGTTTTGAAATGTCTTTCACACACACCCTATATACCTGACTGGTCCAAAAAAGTCACAAAAAAATCTCTAAAAAATATTATTGCTAAGATTTCTGATATTTAGCAAATAGGAACTATTTTGGTAACTCTAACTGACCTAAGACAAAAAACAGTTTAGTCTGATTTACCTTAAGATGGTGAAAAAAATGTGTTGGCATTTTTTTTTTCTTTAAACATTTGGTTTCAATTGTAAGTATCGTTTTCCAAATTTAGACTGGACATTATTATAATTTTGAATATCAAGCACTTTCCAAATCTTGAAATTCAAGGATTTTCAAAGATTTCAAGCTCCTGTTTGATTCCTGACCATAAAAACATACATATGCTGCCTGAGAAACTTTCAAGACCTTAAAAGTAAAACTCTACAGCAGCAACTAGAAGTGAACCAATCAGATATTAATATCCTGAAATAGAAACAAAATCTAGATCAGATGTCAGTGACAATGTGCCAGATCCGGAAGTGCAGATCTGTTCTAATTCTATGCTTTGTGCTCTGAGTGATGTCATGCTTTATTATTTATTTTACATTATATTTAGAATTCCTAAGTATACTTTCTGAACCATTTGAAAGAAGGTTTGTTGCTCTTTATTTTTACATGTTTGACCAAAGTAGCCAACCTGTTGTTTCTTTATTATTTATTTAACATTGGTTGTTTTAATTATGTTTTAATTATTACATACAAGTAATTTAACATTACTTGTATGCACTGACTGAACAAATTAAACTTGTGTTGTTTGACCAAGCTTGTAAAGCAATTGGTGCATTTGAGTGTGCTGTGTTAGTGCAGGTTTATCAAACAAAGTTGTTACTCAGTATATCTATGCATTTAGAAATTTAAACATTTTAAGTCAATTCAGCTGTTTTTCTATACAGATCGTATCGGCCGGTTCTAAACCTCTGATATCGGTAGATCGACGCTTCCCTATTGGGAAATGGACCACAAATAGACAGCATTGTGTCACCACTACACAATGCTGCAGTAGCACAAAGTGTAAGTATAGAATGTGCATAAAACTATGTTGATATTCCACCAATGTCAAAGAAACACAATTTCAAATTGCGGTGTTTCCATTAAATAAGAAATGGAAGAAAATCACTTTTGTTAACGCGATAAGAGATTTAAAACATTCCACACCATCATCCTTCCACTTCCTTCCTGTCGTCATCTTTGTGGTTTGCTCCAGTGTGAACGTCCAGTTGTTGATCACATGACTCGTGTGATGAAAAAAAAGTGATTTCATTGCAGTTTTGCAAAATACACTAATTCTGATACAGCCAAAAAACCATCTCATACTAGTTCAGAAACGTTTTTTTAAATTGGCGTTTCCATTAAGCAATTTTATTTTCCATGTCAAATTGTGCAACTAGGTCAATGGAAATGCAGCTATTGTTGGTTCGCTACATTCAAATAAAGTCACCTGGCAAACCCAGACAGAAGGAATGAATTCCATCCATCTAGCTGCACACCCACCTGACAGGCCGACCTGCTGCCCCAGCACTGTGGCGTACAGGTGGGTGATGTTGCGGGAGTAGCCTCCAAACGGCCGCACAGGGTCCAGCGTGAGGGTGATGGAGACGGAGATGTTGATGGGACCCGAGTCCTCCAACAGCAGGGGGGGCTGTGTGCTGGAGCGGGCCTGGCCGCTGGTCACCACCAGGCTCTCCGGGGTGGTCGACTCGTTCAGGCCGTGCTTTATCGTCTCGTTCTCCGACACGCAGAAGTCCAGGTCGTTGAAGCGCAACAGGAACGTGTTCCAGTCCTGAGGCACAAATCTAAACTTATTAAACTAATTGAGGTTTTCTGCACCGAGTTGTTGAGATTTGCATCCTGCCTACACTGAAATGCAAATCCTTCATGCAGCTTCTGCTCAGGGTGTTCAGACACAGAACAGCACAACATCAGAGTTTGCTTTCACTTTATGCAGTCTGCAATTACAGCTTTACACATTTACAAAGTCAATGAAGCAAAGATCAGAGTTCGTCCATTTTCCCCATTAAACTAAAAAATTCAAGCACTTTAAGCATTTCAAAGTAAGTTTTCTAACATCTCCAGGTCCAGTTTGGAGATATAAAAAATATACAAATAAAGTAAAGCAAACAGTCTCAATTCACTATTAAATGACATCATTTACCACTGTTGTTAATAATGTCATGTGATAGTATTTTACATTCTGGAGCAGGCAGGGAGAAAAAAAATCTAAAATAAAATGTTATATTTGGAATAACGCAAGACTTTATACAGCGATCAAGCACTTTCCAAACTTTGAAAACACCTAATTGTAAGAAAAGCTTGGGAAAAAAAGTCACCTAACAGAAATTCAAGTATTTTCAACAATTTCAAGCACCTGTACAGACCCTGAAGGTTTCATACACTTCACTCTAATTATCCTCCTAAAATGAGCAACTTGGAGAGAAACATTTACGATAATTAAATGGAAACTGTTTTTTAAAGAGTGATGTGGATTTGTCGTACCTCTGTGAGCTCTGGAGACTTTATCTCCTTAATCTTGAAGAAATAACCGATGGTCAGGAAGGCGATGGCCACCGCACTGACACTGATCATGAAAATGACCAGAGGTGGACGGTTGGTGATGTAGCCTCTTAGGTTTTCTATGGGATTTAACAGGAAAACCAAAAAAAAAAAAAAAAAAAAAAATAGAAACATTTCATACCCAACATATTAAAAGGTGTCGACCAGTTGGAGGTCACTGGACTGTATTAATGGCATGAAGGTGATTTGATCAGGGTGCAACAAGAAATTATTTTGTTAATCAATTATTCTGACAATTCATCAATTAATTGGGGATCAAACACTTTTTCACTGAGCTGCATCTCTGCCTCATTAATTCAGAAACTTTTTTCCCAGTGAGCTGCTTTCTATTCATCATCACATCCTTTTACTAGAGAAAGATCAATCACAGTTACAGCCACAGAGACACTTCCTGGCAGAAACTAAAACAATGACTCATTTTTGATAAATGGTTTTAATGTTTCTATATAACACTAAAAAAATAAAGAGTCTGCTTTGACAAGTTACCACTCCAGCTTTATTGTTCCATGGAAGGAGAACAATTAGCATAGCAGAGCTCTGCCTCTTCAATGTGGCTTTGCTATAAACCACACATTATCAGCAAGGAGAATCAATAACACAACCTAAAACTGCAATTAACTATGTTACTCATATTTTCTACTTTATTTTATGCAACTACAAAGCCAGAAACGATAATATTACCATCTTGTGCCAGCATTAGCTTCCCTTTTTAGACAATTTTCTTTTTTTCTTTTTCATATTTGTATGTAAACATTTGTAGGTTAAATACTATATGGACTGTCAACAAAAGGTTTGTATGATGGCATATTAGAGCCATTCCAGATAGAAAAAAAGAACATAAGCTCAGAAATTATCCAGAAAAAACAAGGACATTTCCTAGTTTGAAAGGTAGAAAACTGGGAACCTTAAAAAAAACAAAACAACAACAACAACAACAACAACAACAACAAAAAACATGGAAATGTCTAAGTTTCAAAAGTAGGAAATTGTAAACTTTTGAAACTCAGGAATCACCAAGTTTTTCTAGAATTTCAGAGTTTTTGGTGAAAAATTACTCTTTTTTTTCTACCTCCATTGACTCTAATACGACATTGTAGATTTGAAGTAATAATCACAAGATTTCAATCCAGGAAGGTATACATTATAATAGATGCACAATATTATTGCTATAAATGTCAGCATCGGCCAATACTGGTGATTTTTTTAACATATCGGTACGTACTGGTCTGATAAGTAAAACGGGGCAGATACTACCAACTGATACTTATTTCCATCTTTTTGCTGTTTGTGTTTGTTCACTGTGTTCCAAAGGTAGGAAAAAATTAGAATGCAGTTAAATATATCAGGTATCAGTCTTAACAGTAATATAAATGCATCAGTGCATTCTTATATTATTTAGCTTAAAAACTGCCCCAGTTATGATAAAACAAGGAGCAGCATTTGATTTGCAGACCTGAGCAACAAATGCAAGTTAATGCCCATGTTTATATGTGGCTCATATTTCACAATAACGATGACAGGACTGGTATCTCCATGGTAACAGATAAGTAAAGCATAGCATACACAAACACAGGAGAGAACAAAACCAGCAGCTCCATTCACTGCTGCACACATTTATCAACGGCTGGTTGGAAAAACTGTTTAGACGGAGCACAGGTCAGGAACAAAACCTTTAAATGAAGCCATAATTCATGGAAAGTGCTTAGCAAAGTATTCACACCCTCTTGAACATTTCTACATGTTGCCAAACTATGACCTCAAACTTCACTGTATTTAATTGGGATTTTATGTGATAGAGCAAAACAAAGTAGTGCAAAGTTATGAAATCAAAGCTATCTAAGCTGAATAAGCCAATATTTTTTTGAAATACAATTTTAGTTAGACAGACTTCATAATCTGTTTTAATTACTGTTTTGAATGTTTTTATAGTTTGGATATTTAAAATGTTTCCTCAGGTCCAGTGTTAAATATCCTTTAGAAATGTAAGTTTTATTTATCTTTGAGTGGGAATACTAATATAATCAATATATTAGTTGGAAATTGTCTCAAGGTAAGGTAAGGTAAGGTACAAACTTTATTAATCCCATAGGGAAATTAAGATTGTCTGTTGCTCACACATTAATTCACATCCACACACATTAAAAGTGGTCTAATAAAAGAACTTAACAATAAATACATTAAAAATGCTAATTACTCCGTCTCCCTCCCTTAACCATCCCAGTATTGTCAATGTGACAATATTATCATTTATCACAAAATATTTGAGGGACAATTTATCATATAGCAAAATTTGTTGTTGTGACAGGCACAACATGCGTATCCAACTAAATGAAATCCAGTTTAACCCATTTGTTTTCATAGATGTGTGTCATTTCATCAGAGTCACCAGACTGTCATACAGCAACAGCTGTCAGTCAGAGGCCTCTTTAGGTTCGTTGGAAGACCGACTGCTACAGCATCACCACCCACAACCACTTTCTGAATATACTTAGATAATATGAGATTTCCCTTTGGGGTAAATACTAATTCAAATTTGAAAGCAAGGGAATATATGAATATAGAAAGCAAGGCAATAGGCTAATTAATAAGCCTCGCATGTCTAGTGTTACAGATAAAAAGAGAACACGATCTTCTCATCTATTGGCTAAGACAAAAATGACACTGTTACCCAGGTTTAAATATTAATTAAGAACCATGTTTAGCTAGTTTCGTTAAGCAATTGTCGGGTTAAACTAGCTATCGGCGTTGCTGCAAGGACCAAACTAGGCTCCAGAAAATGTCGTACGTGATAAAAGTTAGATAAAAAGCTCGCCACTCACCATTTTTCCTTGTTGTGCAAGCGACGGGATGCTAGGTGTAGCTGGGAGGGAGCGCTGAGGGCCACAAAAAGGGCTGCGATGTGGCTAGCTAGGTTGCTGCAACGCAGCTAGTCTCCTCTAAATTTATCGCCGAGAAACAAAAGTCTGCGCTCCAAGCTTTCAGCATACGAGACAACGCATATACTGCTTCCCATTCTTCGCCTTTAATATTTCCGTGACTCGACAGAGAAACAAATATTCATCTTTAGGTTTGGAATAACGTCAACATCTTCCTGCCGACATCTGATCCGCGCGTCCTCGCTTTGCGTAGGGAGAAGCGTCGCGGTCTTGTTATTCCCGCAAGATGTACGCTCGAAAATTTACGGTTGACTGTAGAGGACAGAATGGAGTATGGAATTTACGTAGCAATAACGCATTTAGCGTGTTTACAAATGGCTGGGGGCTGTAGTTGCGTTAAGTTACCGTGGGAAACCTTAAAGTCACCGGGAAAGGGACACACAGGCTGCTGTGTATTTTTGTGCTGTTTTTTTAGTTTGACTTTTTCTGGTTTTGTTGAGTTTATATATTTTCTGTAGCATCATTTGATAAATTTAAAGTCCATTTTCTGTTTTACCATCTCTGATTCCCGAGACTCTTTGAAAGCAACGCAATAATAATCACCTTTTTTCAAACATAAATATGTATGGAGACCAGCGCAGTATTTATATCGTAAATATACCCTGGTAAAATTAGGTTTTAAGTAATAAAATGTTTCTTCTGTCTAAGCAATGTTATTTGAAGTTCTGATTTGAATCTAATAAAGAATCTTTGCGGGGGGGGTGAATGTGGGTGAATGTGCATTCATTTTTCTTTTTCCACACCATATTCAATTTTCATTGTAAATAACGTATTTCTGCCATTTTGATGTATAAACTTGACCAAAACAGTTTACTCTTGAGCAACAAAACATTAGATGTCTAACTTTGTCAAAACGACAAAGCAAAAGGGGTTTTGTTTTTCAAAAGAAGCAAATAACTCAGAATATCGACCTTTTATTTTCAGAGAATAGCATAACTCACAAAATGCATGGATGGGAAATGCAATAATTAACATATGAATTAAATAAGAAAATTAGCATTCTGTTCATTATCCCTCTGTATTTGTATTATGTCAGAGCCTGTATCGAAACAGTTTAAACTACTTGCTGCAACTGAAATGTTGTCTTAATGTTATATTATTTTTGAAATGAGATTTACATCAACACTTTGCCGACATTTTAAACAACCAGGCTGATCAGTTTTTGGTTTCTACTTAGGTTTACTGTTTCAGCCTTAACCATTATTTCCTCCGCTACAGCAGAGGGCGGTATGCGTCCGTTCTGCCACACTACGGTCTGCAGTGCAGCTTGTAGCTAGCAGTTAATTTGTGTTGCATCAAGCTAATGAACGTCACACTGGGAGTTATCGGATGATAGTGGCTTGGCACAAACACAGTGACACTCATTGTCTGCGCGGTTTTTCAGTCCTTGTCAAACGACGTTTTGACTAAAGTCCGAGAGGTTAAAGTCCTTGTCAAACGGCGTTTTGACTAAAGTCCTAGAGGTTAAAGTCCTTGTCAAACGACGTTTTGAATAAAGTCCGAGAGGTTAAAGTCCTTGTCAAACGACGTTTTGACTAAAGTCCGAGAGGTTAAAGTCCTTGTCAAACGACGTTTGACTAAAGTCAAAAGGGTTGGAGACAGCTTTTTATTTCTCTTTCTCACTGTTTGCGTTTTAATGATTTTTTTTTAAACTCTCTCACATGCTGTTTTTCTTTTAATTATGTAGAGCACTTTGAAATGCCTTGCTGCTGAAATGTGCTATACAAATAAAATTTGATTGATTGATTGATTGATTGTATAATCTTGGGAGAATTTATTTTGTATACGTAGCATAATTTTAACATACATAACATAACATCTCATGTCACAGCGGTATGTGAAATAAGATTTCACATAATATACGATATCTTATTTTAAGTTCATGAACAGCTTTTATTTTGCAAATGCAAACCGGAAGTACTAACAACTATATAGTAGGTCTAAATACACGACTGACACGGGGCAGCTAGCTGGTTGCTAAATAACAATGAGGAGGTAGCAGATTCAGTTGTATCATCTCCTTTTACGCATCTTCTACACGGTACAGTAAAAGCATTCTAGTGTAATTATCGGCTAAATTTTAGATAATGTTCAACAATGCAATGTTTTCTTTATTTTGTCACGTCAGTTGTAGCCAGTACAGGACAGTGTCTGGCTAATGCTAACTTCCAGTTGTCTTTGTAGCATTCAGCTTACTTTTATGATTATTAAAGTTTTCGCTTACAAAATAAAAGACCGTGACCAAAAAATACATTAAATTGGATAGCTACACTGCCTAAGATTCATCACTAGGAATACTAATGTTACTTATGCTGAATTTCTGTGCAAGTGAAATACTAAGATTTCAGTCAAAACAGCGAAAGATTGAAAAATAAATACAAGTTTCATAAATTAAATCTTCATAACAAAAGACAATTCAGTTAAAATATATGAGGTACATTGCAAACAGTATATCAAATGTTTAAACCAACTTTCTTCTGTGGAGTTTGGCAGCTTTTTCCTACTCTTAAAGTTTTCAGAGGAATGTGTATTTGTAAAGGATACTGAATCCTTTGTCAATAAACTGACATCCAAATTTAAGAGATGAACCAGTTTTGTTTTAAGACAGCAGTAAACTTTACAGAGTTTTGTTTTCAGCAGTGGTGAAAAAATGTTTAAAAAAATTAAGTTAAATCTTTTCAAAAAAGAAAAGAAAAAAGAAATGATGACTTTTGAAGACTTGAATTGAGTGCACAAGTTTTAATTTATGAATTTTTCGTTAATTCTTTGAGGGTGAAAGGTTATACACAGCCTCAAATATAACTGCATCCTCTGATTATTGGGTATTTGTTCTTTTCAACTTGTTGATAAACCACCTTTCATTTGTTTTGTTTCTTCCAGCTACTTTCAGTTTGCATCTGGTTCTTGCTCATGTTTGATTAGAAACGGATCAAAATGATTCTCTTCTGTAACTTTTTGTTTTTTTCTGGTTTAGGCTCCAACTTCCCCAGAGTCACAACTACATGCAGAGACATCTAATTTTCTTGGTTCAGAAGACTGTCTGTGTGGGCCGACAACCTTTTGGTACACTAATCCGATGTAAACAACCTTCAACGTTTTGCAGAACATTTCTAATTTCATCTACCTCTGATCAGCGAAAATCCTTAGCTTCCCATAAACACCATCTTCAAAAAAGACACGCTCCCTGGACTTCGATTTGCCGGTGCTTTTCTGAGTGGCCAGATATGTCGGAACAACGCTTCCTTGTGGAATATGCCAAACGTGGCACGGCGGGGTGCAAGAAATGCAAGGACAAAATCCAGAAGGGCATCGTGCGCATAGGGAAAATCGTGCCAAACCCTTTCAGCGAGTCTGCTGGCGAAATGAAGGAGTGGTATCACGTGAAGTGCATATTTGAGAAGCTGGAGAGGGCCAGAGCCACGACGAAGAAGATCGAGGACCTGACGGAGCTGGAGGGCTGGGAGGAGCTGCAGGACGAGGACAAAGAGCTCATTAATAAACATGTTTCAGGTGCAGCAGAGAGCCGATAAATCACCTACTGCTTAATCTAAATCTAAACATGGTGTTCAATTCATTTATCTAAAATTAAGGCCTTAAAATATCTTATTCGCCAGAGAAAATGTAAATTGACCTTAAGTTAATGAAAATCTCATTCTATATAGGTTAAACAGGCAAAACGCAAAAGATTGCATTATGTACAGACATTTTCACTCAGTATGTCTTATTACTCAGAGCGATTAAGGCTAGCAGTAGCAAGCCATTTATACTTACTAGCTAGCTAAAGAGTCATTAGCAATGTGAGAAGCACAAATCTGCTGCCGTCAATAAAAGATGGCAGAAATTTAAACGTTTTGCCTCCTGCATTTCTTTTGTACATCTCTGCTGGGATATAGGTCTTACATTATATTCATAATGGTCTTTAAAAACCTTAAATTTGAGCAACCTTGTTAAACCACTGACTTTTTTTCCATTATGAATCTTTAAATGTTGCTAGTTCAAGATTTGCCATCTTACCTGGTAAATCAGCAGGTGTATCAATAACACTTGGCGTGAAGGTCAACTTCTTAACCTTTTGGTAGGAAAAAAAAAAAGTTTGGCTTCATAACATCCTTTAAGGTTGAGGTGAAATGACTGAGAATCAAAACATTTATGAATGCATTTAGAAGTTATTCGCTTAATCAAAATTTAATGCTTGAGTCTTTTTTTTATTTTTTTTATTTTTAACTTGTCAAACCTCTTGTTTTGTAGACCTGATGGCCAAAGTCAATGCTAGTCCTAAAAAGAAGGTCCAGGCCAAGTTGAACACCACTGGTCAGCTCATGGCGCCCCCTGCTGACCCTTCTGTCAATGCTCCGAGGAAGTTTTCTGGCTTCACAGGTAAAATGCATTCACCCTGGATTAACATAACTAAAGTGTCTTTCAGTGCTGCCCTTACCTGAAATTATATTTTGATGATGCGGTTTAGAGGAAATACTTGGAGTTTGCTGTAAACAAAATCACAGAAATGCAAAGTTTTAGTTAAAACAGAATTAAAACTTTGTGAAAGTTAAACAAACAGCATTAAGTTTGAAATTACTTTCACACAAATGGTTTAGACATGAACTGGCCACCAGGGGCTTCAGGTACGAAGCAGCTGCGGATTTTCCCTGAATCCTGTTGGCCGCCTAAATGGACCAGAACCAGTCGGATCCAAATCCATTTCTTTTGTACTTTTCAATCAATGTGAAATTGAAAACACATGACTCCACCCTTATCATGCCCACGAATAAGCAGATATTGTGTTCAGTATTGCCAAGTTGGCTTTATTAAAAGCAACTTTGGTCTTGTTTGTTTTCTTTTTCTGAAAGTCAATTGCAAATGTATTGAGTTAAGTTGTTTTTTTGGGGGGTTTCCTTTTGAATGTGAAGATTGTTATTTGGGTTTGACTTTTTTCAGAAAAATGTAAAACCACTGTAAAATCTTTTGGATTTGCGTGGTTGCCAGTTTAGATTTTTTTGGGGCTTGATTTCATAGAGCTGGTTGCTTGTTTCTCTCGCGAGATCTGGCAACACTGATTGTGTTTCGTGTTTGATTCTTTTTTTTCCTGTTGGTACAATTAGATTGATAACATGATTCCTTTCAATTTTGAAACTTTGGCCATAACTTCAGAGCTAAAACCACACAGGGAGTAGAACTGGCAGATTTGTCAGAGTTAGAAAGTGTAAAAATGTGGTTTCTGTCTTTCTTTCTTTCTTTTTTTTTTTACCGCTCCGC